GAGCCAAACTGGTTTCAGCTCTGCTATTTTATTTTTAAGTTAATTTCGGAGAGGGAAAGGGAAAGAGAACATCAATGATGAGAGAGAATCATCGTCGGGCTGCCTCCCGCACGCCCCCTACTGGGAATTGAGTCAGCATGTGCCCTTGACCGGAATCAAACCGGGGACCCTTCAGTCCGCAGGCGAACTCTCATCCACTGAGCCACGCCAGCTACGGCTCAATCTGTGTTTCGGAAAAAGCCCACTCTGGCTGCCACGTGGACAATGACTTGGGGGGCGGGGTGATGGTCAGCAGGCAGCCCCCACGGAAGGATGGCGTGTGGGCCTGCGGCAGTGATGAAGGTGGAGTCCAAGGGAGAGGAAGGACGGCTCGACGTCGGAGGCCACCTCCGAGCCTGGGAGGTGTATGCAGCCTCGGCTCACAACCTGAGCCAAAGACATTCTGAGACGAAAACTTCCCAGATGAGTTGAGCAGGTGGGAGTAGAATTTCAAACGACCAAGTTTAGGTTGTCACTGGCTAGCTGGTTCTTCCCCTACAAGGGAAACTCAGAAATGTGGGCTCAGCAGAAGCCGGTTTGGCTCAATGGATAGAGCGTCGGCCTGTGGACTGAGAGGTCCAGGGTTCGATTCTGGTCAAGGGCATGTCTCTTGGTTGTGGGCACATCCCCAGTGGGGAGTGTGCAGGAGGCAGCTGATCAATGTTTCTTTTTCTTTTTCTTTTTTTAAGATTTATTTTTTAATTTTATTTTAAAAAATATTTTATTGATTTTTGTACAGAGACAGAGAGCCAGAAACATCGATGAGAGAGAGTCATCGATTAGCTGCCTCCTGCACAACCCCCACCGGGGATGTGCCCGCAACCAAGGTACACGCCCTTGATGGGAATCGAACCCGGGGCCCTTCAGTCTCCAGGCCAACGCTCTATCCATTGAGCCAAACCGGTTTCGGCTGATCGATGTTTCTAACTCTCTATCCCTCTCCCTTCCTCTCTGTAAAAAACCAATAAAATATATATTTTTTAAAAGAAAAGAAAAGAAAAGAAAAGAAAAGAAAAGAAAAGAAAAGAAAAGAAAAGAAAAGAAAAAAGAAAAGAAAAGAAACGGGGCTCAGGGGATGCACCAGAGATGGTCTGAGGCAGCTCCCAAGGGTGGGGCCAAGAGGCTAGTCTCCTGAGAGCTTTGAAGGTTCAGTACGTGCCAGGACAATGCCTAGTTCTTACCAGCAGGTGGCAGCACCACAACGTACTAAAAGCAAAGCGGAAAAACCCTTTTCTACCGTTAAAAACCACCGTAAGCCCCAACCCAACAGAGGGCCTTGGTGGTGGTGATTCATTTGTGCATTCCGGAGTCCCTGACTGAGCAGTTTGTCACTGGCAAGTTTTGCTACGGTTACAACAGGTTTTCACACCAGGGTACCTTTTACTTCACAATTTGCCTGTTGCTCCAATTTCTGTTTGTTATTTAACCTGTCACACACACACACTCACAATCCTACTGTCCCCAGCGTGGCTTTTTCCTCTGCCCAAAATGATCCTGGGCAGCGTTCTCTCAGGTTGCTGAATCTGTGTCTGTAGAGAATTTTTTAATCAGAAAGACAGTGTGACAGCTGTTGAAGGGTGGGTGGTCTAGGTTGTGTGGTGGTTTTTTCTTGTTTGGTCGCCCACACTTGTTTTATGTCAACACGATTCGTTTTTGCTTTTTTTTTTTTTTTTTTTTAAATATATTTTATTGATTTTTCTACAGAGAGGAAGGGAGAGAGACAGAGAACTAGAAACGTTGATGAGAGAGAAACATCAACCAGCTGCCTCCCGCACAACCCCCACCCGGGATATGCCCGCAACCAATGCATATGCCCGACTGGAATCGAACCCGGGACCCTTCAGTCCACAGACCGACGCTCTACCACTGAGCCAAACCGGCTTCGGCCGTTTTTGCTTTTTTTTAATTTAATAAATCTTTATTGCTCAGATTATTACAATTGTTCCCCCCCCCCCCCATAGCTCCCTTCCACCCGGTTCCCACCCCACCCTCTGCCCTTACCTCCCCCTCGATTCGTATTTTTACTTTTAAATGTTCCCCTTCCGAATCTGGCCCGTATGCGCGTATTTTTACACAGATGTACTCCGAGTCTGTTTTATCAGGGTTGCATTTGAAAAGGAAGTGCGTACTTTTTTTTTTTTTTTTTTTCCCCCTGTTCTCTTGGGCATCTAGTCTCTTCTGAGATCTCACCCACTTCCTCAGCTTCAAATATCACATTGCCCAGAGACGCTGCCATGTCTTTATCTCCTGTCAACCTCGATTATTTACTTTTTTGTTCTCCCATCCCTCCCTCCATCCATGCACCCGCCCCATGCATTGTGCCTGGGCCGGGAATATGATTGTGAAAAGTCCTGTTTTCCGGCAGCTCGCAGAGCACGGGGCGGGAGGCCGCGGGGCAGCAACGATGCTGCAATGAAATTGGAGGTCCGGCGGGAATTGGGGGAGAGAAACCCTAACGCTGACTTGGGGGCCCAAAGAACGAGACAGAGGCCAACTGAGCAGAGGAAACTGCCTATGCAAAGATAGGGACACTCTCATGAGCTTGTGGCCCCTGCAGGAAACCGCAGGGGTGCCGTTTTGGGGGAGAGGGAGCTGGCTGGAGCCTGCAGGGTAGGGCTGGCAGGCAGAGGCCAGGTCCCCAAGGGTCTTGCAAAGGACCTGAGACATTATCTCGAGAAGTATCTCTCCTGGAACACTCTTTCCTTCTCAGCCTCACCAGGTTCTCAGCTTACACCTCCCTCCTCTCTTTTCCCTGATCCAGGACTAGGCAGATTCCCTACTGCGCGCCCTCCAAGCCGGCAGGGCGAAGAGGGTCACGTTCTTAGAGGCTCTGTGACAGGTTATCCCGCTGTCTGCGGAGATGCTCGGTTAGTGTTTGGAGGGAATGGATGGAAGTGTGGAGCTTTCCCGCAGCATCCTGGGTATTTCTGCCTGCATGTCTGCCTGAAGGGTGAACTCTGCATTTCCATCACCTCCTCACCTGCCCTCCCCTGTAAAACACCCTCACCTGCTGCTAACCAACCCATTTCTTGTTGTTCTCAAAACAAAGAATTGCAACTCTTCCCTCACTTTCCCCTCCTCTCTGCTCAGCAACTAAGTCTTTCCCTTTCTTTTTTTTTTTCTGGCCACCATTCTAGAACAAAGTATCATAGTGTGTGTGTGTGTGTGTGTGTGTGTGTGTGTGTGTCGGGGGATATTTATGGGTTTTAGAACAAGAAAAGTGTCTGTGTAAATCTTGGGTCTACTATATTTGGGTTCCCCTGGGTAAGATACTAACCACTCTAAGCCTCAGTTTCCGAGTCTGTAAAATGGGGAAGTGGACCTGCTCTGCAGAAAGACCGTTACTCTGGTACTCGTCAAGTGATCAGTGAAAGCCCTCTTGGTCTTTTAGCCTCAGATCAGACATTGGCTCAAAAACCCTCTGAGGTCGCCCATCACTTGCCAATGAAACCTGAAGCCCCAGAGGCTGGCCTTGTCTCTCATTACCCCTCCCTCTGAACCCTAAACTCTGTCCCATTCCATCTCTCTTCTTTCCTGCCTCCACATGGCGGGCCAAACACCCACGTAATTGGCTCCCTCCTTCAAGGTCCTATATGTAGTTCGAGGGCCCTGTTTTGCCTTCAGTGTAGGCCAGTGGTTGGCAAACTCATTAGTCAACAGAGCCAAATATCAACAGTACAAGGATTGAAATATCTTTTGAGAGCCAAGTTTTTTAAACTTAAACTTCTTCTAAACACTACTTCAAAACAGACTTGCCCAGGCAGTGGTATTTTGTGGAAGAGCCACACTCAAGGGGCCAAAGAGCCGCATGTGACTCGCGAGCCACATTTTGCCGACCACGGGTCTAGGCAGCTGTCCTCTAGATTACAAACTGCTGAACACAGGCTTTGTGGGGTCCACCCCTGCCTAGCTCCTTGCATGCAGTTGACTCTCAATAGAAAGAAGATTTATTTTCCTTATTTCGACGGGCTTGTTTTCTCTAGAATCAGACGTGTGCTTATTCTCGCTTCAGCGTTATTTTGTTGGCTTCCGGAGCGCCCATTGCCACGAGACACGTTCTGTTCTCTCCTTTAATTGGAAAGAGCTTTTGGCACAGAAAAGCCGAGTTCCTCCTCCAAGCGCCATCTCCTGGCCCTCCCCCCGCCCAGTACAGGAATCAGCTGCTGAGCATTGCCCGGAACGCCTCACCTCCACGCCTCCGGCCGCGGTGCGCTCGGTGCGTGCGGCTGCTCCCTCCGCCCGGGACGCCTCGCCCCGCGTCTCCGTCTAGCGAACTCCTACTCGTCCTGCAAGATATCACCACCCACAGCATCTTCCTTCCCTGGGAAGGCCTTTCTGAGACGGGCAGGGGAGCGACCCCCGCCCCACCCCTTTGGCTGGCTCAGCAACCCCCCAGCTGATTGCAGCATTGCTGGTGGCATTCTTTGTTTACGTTTCCTCCACTCCCGTGGACCCTGAATTCCTCGAGGGCCAGGGTTTCTGTCCGTTACCTTCTATCTATCTAGCACCCTGCTCAGCGGAGCCGGGGGATTCGATCAGTGAACAAATGAATCTGTCAATTTATCTAACACTGCAGGGCTGGGGCCAGATCCCCAAATAGTTCAAGAGCAGGTCCTCTATTTGAGGGTACTGCATGCTGGAGGGAGATTCTCCCCCGACCCCCCCAATTGCCTTGGTCTGGTGGAAGGGGAAGGGAAGTGACTCGGCGGCGCAGACTTCCTCCTTCAGGGTTACGCTGTAATTTACCGGCTCCGGCACCGAATGGGTTAAGGCGACTCGGGGGCGGAGCCATGTGGGTGCCACCTGCTGCGGGGCGGCCATGCGCAGGCGCCCTGGCGTCTAGGAGGGTTAACAGCGGTAGGCGGCCGCCGAGGGGCGCATGCGCTCTGGGCCTTTTCCGCCGGGGGAAATCTCGCGGGGGCGGGGCAGGGCGGGGCGGGGCGGGACCGGGCGGAGGAGTTCTCGCGGGACTCCCGAGAGGAGCGGAAGCGAGGCGGCTGTGCTGCTTCAGCGACCGGGCGGCGGCGGCGGCGGCCGAGATTGTGGCGGTGACAGCGGCCGGAACAGGCGCTGCCCTCGGGGAGCAGCAGCGCGGTCGGCGGCCACGCACTCCGCTGTGGAGGGGCCGGTGCGGAGCGGAGCAGCTGCGCCACGGTGAGCGGGGCCGGCCGCGGCGGCGCTGGCTCGGTGCGTCTTCCGAACCCCGCTCCGAAGCGGGAGTCGGCTCCTAGGGACCCGGCTCAGCCTCCCGAGGCCGCCGGGCCTGGGGGTCGGGACGGCGAGGTGTGGGGCAGGAGAGGGGGTCCCCGGGACTCTGGACTCGCGTTTCCTCTTTTGGGGCGCTTCCTTCCTGGGGACTGTCCTCCCGGGGCCCTCGGCTCCGGACGGAGCCCCCGGACCCCGGAGCAGAAGGCGGGGGGCTCCTGGGCCTGCTTCGTGCCTTCTTCACGGGGGGTTGCGCAGACGGACCTCGGGAGAAGCCCGCGAGCACGGCTGCTCATCCCGTGAGTCAGTCTGACTCGGCCCGGAGGCGGGGGATTCTCTGCGGCTGCACATGGGCGAGCGGCGCCCTCGGACCCCATCTGCCTGGTGTCTTGGGGCTGAGTTTCGGGAGGGGAGGGAGTCCCCCAACCCTGTCACTCCCGTGCGCTGGAACGTTTGCTGCCGAGACAGTGGAGATGCCTGTACTTCTGTCCCCCCCCTTCCCCACGCGGCCCCCCTTTTCGAACTGAAAAATGCCCAGAAAAATAAGCGGCGGCGGCTGAGGGGTTGGAACACTCCGAAGAGAGATTCCGGCGAGAGAGGGGAGAGCCGCCGGGCGGTGGTTTGCATGGGTGACGCTCGCCATGTGTGGCTGGGAGCCGCCTGCGCCCCAGCCTGTTTGGGGGGTGTCCGCGGCCGGCTCCGGGTGCTGTGAAAGGCCGGGGTGCAGCGGGGCTGAGGGAAGCGCACTCCGGGTCTCCCGGTCCCGTGGGCACTCAGGCAGGAGCGGAGAAGACACGGGGGAAACGAGCATCCGTCTCCCTGGCTTTCTTGTCCCCGTTCCTCTTCGTGCTCCTCTCCCTTCCACTGACGACAGGCTCACTCGCGTGTCATGCAAGTCATCTGCCGCCCCCCCTCCGCGCCTGCCCCCCCCCCCTTTTTCTAACCTACTTCCCCTTCTTTCTCGTCGTCTCCTCGCTGGCATAATTTTTTGAGGTTTCTCTGCTCCTTGCGCAGTTCGTCTTCTCATTTGATGATCGCGTTTTCTCTCCGGAGAAATGAGCCCCTTTCCCCGCTTTATCCTTTGCTTCCCAGCGTCCACGGTGCTCCTTCCGCCAGCCAGGAGGGTTGCTGGAGAGCCACCGAGCCTTCGCTTCTCCCGCTGGCAACTGCGAGGCTCCGAGGCTTGAATTCATCCCTCTGTGATCGATGCTGCCACTAGGTCAACTTGCTCGTTTCGTCTGTGTTTTAGTTGTTTTCTTTATTTTAGGATCGCGCTTTTGTGCCAGCTGATGTTTTTCTTCCGGTGTCACTTTTGTATTAGGGAGATTGGGTCGATCAGGGCTGTATGTATGACTTCTCACTGGCTTTTAGGGGGGAGGGTGGTCAAGGTAAAACACATCAAAAACGGAAACCAACCATAGACCTGTATTTCAGTACAATTAAGATAACATGAACCATTTAAGGGAACAGAATTTATTTAGATCTTTGATCAGTTAAAACTTGCCCATTGCAATAGCACTAATATTTTGGACCAGGCTAAAAGAATTTTATTTTATTTATTTTTTTAAAGAATTTTATTTTTAAGTTAGAGTTGACATACTGTACAGTGTTAAATTCATCTCACGTGTACTTTACCAGGCTTTTAAAAATCGGGCATCTTTTCCTACATCTGCTAGAATCAGCCCTCTTTTTTATTGTTGTTGGATTTTTTTTGAGAGAAAGAAAAAACTTTTTGTCTTGCTTGTTCAAAATTTTCTGAATTCCAAAATAAAATAAAAAGAAGTTAGTGCTTTTAATCAGCTTTCTTTGATACTAAAAGCAAGCATTTCAATGCTTGAGGCTGTTGCCTTCCTGAGAAGTATATTCAGATGGGAAGGATTATTGGGTGTTAAATACCACTGGTTTGGTGGTACTTAGAGGTTTCTCTCGGTGATTTCTGTTATCGTGTTGCATGTCGTGCAGCCACAGTTCTAATTATTACTGGAGCAGAAGAGGAATCGATTTTGGAGAAATGCAATAACACAGACCAGAGACCCACCATGCGCTCCTGGGAGGAAGTAATGGTTCCTTGCTTGATTCAGAACTTTCTGGCGCTACTGACTGACCATCGAGAGTCTTGGTTTTGTCAAAGTTGGCTTTTCTTCAGTTGTGCCAAGTGGACATGCATGATTTCTGTTATCTAAAGATGTTGTAGTGCTTTCCCTGGAACACGGAGTTTAAAATCTGGTTAAGACACCCTGATAGTGGTACAGCAGTGATTCTTAAAATGAGGCAGGCGTAAGAACTACCAGTGAGTCTTACATAAAACTAGGTTCTGGGCCTAAGGCCACGACACTGCAGAACTCCAGAAGGCCCCCCTCAGTGGATCAGCCTCTACATAGGGTGATTTTGATGCAGCTGGTCCGAGGACCAGAACCGTTGTTACAGAGTGCAGCCATAGGATAATGAGACGAATGTGGCTTTAAATTACTCGACTTCAGTGTATACTTTTCTGTGTGTGCAGAGTAAATATTTAAAAGCCTAATAGAATACATGACTATAGATGTGATTAGTTTTTGTGTGTGTAAATGTTTGAACTTTGTTAGGACTGTGGTGTGGAGCAATGTAATTTTAAGTTAATGCTTAAAGAGGCCTGTTAGTTTGCCTATTAGATAGTCTGTACGTAGATAGAAGTTCTAGATTGATTGCGGAAACATGGGGACTAATACTATGCCAAAAGGGACCGGGGATGCTAGTTAACACCTCAGTGCTTACGCCAGAGGCTCTGCTGAGACCTTACAGGTGGGTCTGTCAGGAATCACAATGGCCTCATGAGGCCATTTGCCACTGGGAAGGTTGAGACTTCCTCTCATTAGGCCTCCGTGTGGAGAGCACTCCCAGCCCTCTGCTTGGGAAGGGTGTTAACAGCAACAGCTATTGGAAGGATTATACATTGTGTTCACTCCCAGATTTCTGCCTTTCATAACCAGGGTTGCGTATGTGATAAAGTATTGTTCTGTCTTTAATGGAACACACCCTTTGGAGTCCCTCTGGCCCGGGAAGCTGACATCTTCAAGTTCTCTCCCCCAGATGCTCTTTGGTACGGAAATATCGGTTGTGCTTGGATTTCATTTCTATCAAGTTGTATCTGACAAAGCCATGGTCACTTGAAACATGGTTTTCACTTGTTAGTTTGTCAGGCTTTCTCTGGGAAGCCTGTGGGAGATGCGTTGAGTAACAGCAGTAAAACAAGTGTTGAACATGGTCCTGGTGTTGTGTGTGGCTGTGCAGTTACACGGCAGTTGTCTGAAATCCTGAACCACAGGCGGCTGTGCCCTGTGACGGCATAGTGCCTGGGCAGTGCCAGGGCTCTGGGCTTCTGTCTGACTTCCATTTTGCAAAAATGAAACTCTGTGCTTTTTTTTTTAGATCTGCCCATCATTGATACATAGTCCCATCATTGATACATAGTCCCATCATTGATACATGGTCCAGGCAGTCAGACCTGGGGACCCTTTCAGATAAGCAGCCAGGCCTGCGGAAACATGGATGGGCCTGTGTCAGAGATTTCGGAGCATTTATAACCATTCAAATGTAGGTACACACATTGGAAAGTAAGCCAAAGAGGAAAAGCGGTTACTAATGCTGGGGAAAACTAAAGGACTTCCTAGAGAGGAAATTGCAATACATTATCTAAATCACCAATGAACAGTATTTCATGTTGTAATACTGCTTACACCAGAATATGTGGCACCGCTGGGATGGGACAGAGGAGATTAGCAGGGGTGCAGTAGTTAGGTGAGAGATGATGGCTGGAATAAACTAAGAAACAGCAACAGGAGCATATTACTTAGAAACATTGTAAGTGAATCCAAAGAGAAAGCTAAAAACCAATTTGGGGGTGATTACCGTATTTTTCGGACCATAAGACACACTTTTTCCCCCCCAGAAGTGGGGGGAAAAAGTCCCTGCGTCTTATGGTCCAAATATAGCCTACACATATACTTTAAAAAAACAGTTTTTTTTACTTGCCCGGCTCTGTGTGGTCTCTGTGTGCTTGCCCGGCTCTAAAATGGTTCTAAATGCTGCTGTTTACTTTACAGGGTTGATTACATGTGTTTATGACTGTGATGTTGGGTTTTAATGCACATAAAATATTTTAGGACACTTTGTTTCAGAATCTTTTTTTCTTCATTTCCCTTCTCTAATAACTGGTGCGTCTTATGGTCCGGAGCGTCTTATGGTCCGAAAAATACGGTACTTGTGGGCGTTGGGGTAGGGAACTGCTCTTTTTCATGAATTTCAATACTCGGATTTTTAAAGTTATATACGTGGATTAGTTTGATAAGAATTACACTACAGAGGGTATAAGTAAGGGGTTTCGAAGACATGCAAAAATAAACACTCTGAGACTGATCTTGGTCTTTTTTATATTTGATAATATATGACAGCCTGCTTCCTCTGCTCCCTTGGGGCCAGTGCCACAAAGGACGTCCTAGGTCTGGCCTGACAGTAAACGTTGGTCTGGTTTGTTAGTTTACCTGCAGCAGCACGTTTGGCTTTTAGAATTTGACTGAAGGCCTTTTTGTTACCAGGTAATTTCTTTTCCCCTGGGTGACACTCATTTTTCTTCCATCTTCACATTCCCCCTGCTTTCCGCTTAGTCCCTTTGCAGCTGTGCTTGACTAACGCCCCACTTGGTAACTTTAGGACAAAGGAATAATAATCACTTGTATCCTTCAAATGGGTTCTCTGCTGGGTGGTAATTAGTGTCACTATAAATAGTGTGTCCCCATTCTGCCAGGATCCAGGTTGTTTGCTGCGTTTCTTCAGCCGGATGAAAACAGCGGCTGGGAAGTAAGAATGGGGCTTTCTTTCCTTCAGTTCTGCAAAGGTCTGGGCTGTGCCCCACATTCAGGGCTGGAGGCCGCTCCGCAGCGATGGTCTGCGGTGCCCTCAGTCCCATCACCTGTGCACACCGGAGGCTGCCCGCACAGGGCAGTGGCTCCGGTAACCGGGGAGGCTTGTTTGGCTTCCTGGCACCATCTCCCCGCACTTTCTTTTCCCAGACATTTCTGACAGCTCATTCTAGAAACAGGATTTCCTTCACATGTAGGTGAGGACTTCAGCTTTCTCCGTAGGCTACTTAAAAAATAACGTGGGGGCTGCTTCTGGAACACGAAACCTTGGAGGTCCATTTCCAGGGCGAGCGAGACCCAAAGTTTCAGGGTCTCTAGGGGCCTTATTGCAAGACTAGCAGAAGGCTCAGCGGCAAAAGGAGAGGAAAGGCTGTGGGACCTTCTCTGGTGTCTATGCTCAGGTAGTAGACCGAGTAAAAAGTAGACCCTGTGTTCGCTCTCCTGCTCTCCGAGGAGCAGCCAAGGTCTAGTTTGGGAGAAGAGTTAGAAGCAGCGCAGGACCAAAGCTGGCACTGCTTCCGTTTGGACTGGGCATGGGCACCCAGCGTTTTCTGAAAAGCAGGAAGGCCGGCAGGGAAAGGAGGGAGCCGGGCCTTTTACCGGAGGGAAGGAGGGGCCATCCCCAGGGGGAGCCTGCTTTCAGGGGACTCTGTTTTGTGCCTGGAGGAGAGGGTAACGGGCAAGGGAGGGAAGGTGGGAACCAAGCGGACTCCAGCCGGTGGGTCCCTCTCCGCGCACGCCCAGCGGGAAGGAAGAGGAAGTGTGTTCTGGGGGAGCTCAGCCGCCGCCACCATTGGCCGGCGGGCCTGTCAGTCGCCTGGGCCCGAGGCTGAAAAGAGGAAGGAGATCAGGGCTCTGGCTTGGAAGGGAGGGAGGAGGGCTGAGCCAGCCTGACCAGGGGGCGTGGGGGCTGGGACGGCTGGCCTATTGGCAGGGCGGGGCTGCTTCAGTCCCGGCCACTCTCTCAATCATCCGTCTTCTGGTCCAGGCGGCCTTGTGTCCGGAGCCGGAGCGGAGAGGAGGCTGAGCGCCCGCCGGCTGCTTGGGCAGGGAAGACTCCCTTCCCCCTGCTAGCTGTGAGCCCTGAGCAGCGCGCAGAATGGAAGCCATCGCCAAATATGACTTCAAAGCCACTGCAGACGACGAGCTGAGCTTCAAAAGGGGGGACATCCTCAAGGTAAGCGTTGCTGCCAAGCGAATGCCGAGATGGCCTCTGTGTCCTCACCTTCCTCCTCCCGCCGGGTAACGCACAAAGGAGCCGCGCTCCTCCTCCCGGTGCCCACCGTGAGCACTCCCCAGCGCGTGAGGCCGGGGAGCCGAGATGGACGCCGAGGAGAACGTGAAATATGACTTCGGGGTGGTGTGTGCGATGTATGGTCTTTAACTGCCTTTGTGTGAACGCCTCGAGCATTTCTCTTTGCTTGTTGATATTGGTCCTATTTCAAGTGAAGTCAAAGCAATACGACTGTAGTGAGGAAGTAGGTGGATTTACCTTGGAGAGTTTTATTAAAAAATTAGAGGATGTTTTGAAAGACCTAAACTTGAAGTATTTATGTAAAAGCACTCCATTAGTCTTCTTTTACCTAGTGAAAAGATGTTTGCATTCTGGAATATGATCCTGGTCGGTTAGAAATTAATTTCCCCTCGTTTAGAGAGGTTGTTAGAAATACATGCCAAACTCATTAAAGAACTCAGTGTGTCTTTATTCTTTTTTGAAAAAAAACCAGTGGAGTTCTAAATAATAAGGTTCAGTTTACTGTTGTACAAGTCAGACTTCGATATTCTTAGAAGAAACTTGAGGAGCAATTACCCATTTTAAACAATAATTGCACAAAAGAAACCCGCTGACAGTTTAGGAAAAAAATAAGCTGCTTTCCAGTTTGCAGCTCAGTTGGAACCCCACTATTTACAGGAGGATCACTCTCCCCCTGCACGTTAATTATGCTGTTTACCTGGAGCAGCCTGCCCTTTTGTATATGCAGCTCCCTTTTTTACAAGGCGGGTGTTAGCGAATATGTCACTTTACAGGAGGAAAACTTGAACTTTAGTGTTTGCCTGTTCACCATGTCTCACGCTTTGACTTTTTCCCCCTCTCTGAACCTCAGTCTGATTGCTGGAAACTGCTACTGTTCGTTGACTATCCCTGAATGAAATGATTAGAATTTTACAAAGAGGAAAAAGGTGGAAATGTAGAAATATGGTCCTTTCAAAAATAACTAGGTTTTTGTATGTGTTTTTTTTTTGTTTTTTGTTTTTTTTGTTTTGTTTTAAGTTATGCAGACCTATGGAGAGTGACTATTTGGGCTCATTGCCAAAGGCATAGAGCTCTCTGAAGTGACTGCACAGTAATTTAATGTAAAATGTGTAAGCTGGACTTCATAAAAGGTGAGATTGAAAAGCTCTTTAAGGAGAAGAAAACTGTGCGTTATGTTCAGAGCTGTTATTGTCATGCCAAGCTCTCTGAGGGTCTTCTCCCCGTCAGCACAAAACTGTCAGAAAACAAACAGACCAGCTACAGGTTTTAGAATGCCGGATATCTCCTGATTCTGTTTCCTTAGAGAGCTAGAAATCAGAGCAACTGTAACTTAGACAGCGATTACTCTGTATCATTGGTGTTCCGAGGAGGTAATTTGGTGTTTCCATACGTGATGACTGTTTTCAGCAGATAATCCGCCAGTGATATCATAAGATTGGCTACTCAAATACCTACATTTGTAGCCTGTGTGAAAACCTTTTGGAGCCAAGCGGTTTTTATTTTATTTTATTTATTTTTTATTTTTATTGATCTCAGAGAGGAAGGGAAATGAAGAGAGATGGAAACACCAATGATGAGAGAATCACTGATCAGCTGCCTTCTGCACACCCCTACTGGGATCGAGCCCACATGTGCGGGGACTGGGAATCAGACCTCCTGGTTCATAGGCTGATGCTCAAACACTAAGCCACGCTGCCCGGGCATTGTTTTTTTAAAATACAAACTGATTTCTCTATTAAACTCACCATAGAAACTTGAATGGAAGCCTCATGGTTCATATTTTTCTCTTTAAGTTTATCCCATTGCATATTTAGCACTAAAGCAACAAAATAAAGGAGGGATTTGCGGATTTTAAAGAATTTTTAGACAAGACCTTCCCCTATTTACTGTCACCGAAGTTTTTCCAAGACCTTGAACATTTTATAAGTTATCCAACATAAATTGGTAACCTCTTGAACAAGTATAAAACCCTTCTCTCCCCACCCTATAATTAGAGAAGGTGATACTGTTTAGCATTCCCCCAGAAAATTCATGATGGGAGAGAGAGTGAATCACAGTGCTCCCGCTTACTTTCAGATTTTCTCTGGGGAGAGAGAAAAATCCGTATATTTGGTTCTTTCCAGTTGGGTAGATAACTGGCATATGAAGTCATAATGCCATTATTGCTTTTGAATCGTGGCCATTAGCTGTTAGTAATCTTGTGATTTTACTCCAAAAAAAAGTGATAATACAGTAGTTGCCCTTCGTCTAATAATTCTGTGTAGCAGCTGAGTGAAGAGGAGGGCCATTGCTTTGTGTTAAGAGCTGTTAGTAAAAAACAACAGTGCTTCCTTCATCTGATTACTCAGGGAGAAACCGGCTTCATTTTAGTGGCTCTGATTTGATTTGATAACTCTTTAGGGTCTCAAAACGAGTTTAGAGGTGGCTGGAATAGCATTGACCAGTTTAATTTGATTAAAATATCCACATTTGCCCTCTCTGGGTAAAGGGGGCATGAGCATATTGGTGTTCACACATTTCATTTTAATATAATGAAATAGAAAGGGGCTTAGGCCCCTGCCTCGGGCTAGAGTTAGGAAGGATTGCGTCCTCCCCGTCTTAGAGTTCCTGGTTAGCTTTTGGTTCATGTGCATTCCTGTCCTCCAGCACACCACTTTCTTATTTCCGTCTGCACATTGACTCGTACTGCCCTGAGAAGAGAGAACACTAAAGACATTTTACTGGAGGCCTAAAATAGACCTGAATGCCTCAGTATATCTGCCTTTGTTACTCCTCTTTCACAAAGCTTGTGTTTTCTGAGAAGGGAACAGGGGCATAGAAAGGGGAGGAATTGCTCTCTTGCTGCAGGTTGCAGGCTCTGCGTGGCTGAGCCTCGCCTCGCCTCGCTCTGTAGCCCCGCCATTGCGGGCAGGCTTGGAGAGCACTGGGAATTGTCCGCTGATGGGCCCCTAACACCGCAAGTGTCTGCGCTCCCCTAAAAGTTGCCTTTGCCATCTAGGGGCCATGCAGGCATACTCAAAACAGTGCTGCACAGGAATTAAGAACCGTTTTGAGCTCTCAAACCTGTGTTCATCCCATTCTTGTCCTCCATCAAGGCAGACCTTCGACTCAAGAGGAGAGCCAGCAGTGGGCCGGCTTCTCTCTGGCACGGGCTCCCTGTCCCAGCTGCACCAGCTGCTTTAGAACTAGATACTGGTTCCCTCTCAGACCTTTGAGTGTTCTCTCTCAGCACCGACGTCTCTGTTTCCCTGCCACGTTTCCTGGGCATCTCCTAGGGCCACGTCCTGGGATGACTTGCTTTGAGAGTTGGGGAAGAAATAGATGATGTACTTTTTCTCCTCAGGTACTTCCTCCCCCCCCCCCCCCCCCTCCTGTGCCTGGATGAGGCCGAGGCATTATTTTATAGTGAGATCAAAACAAGAGTAGTGGCCAACATGTTTACAATGTTCTTGTGAGTTTCACCTTGTTTAGGCAGCACTTGCTGCACCTCCCACAGCCCATTGGCTGCCATTAGCTGCCCAGGAAGGAACTAGGGAGGGCTACAAGGTCAGCCTTAATTATGCTGGGAGAGCCCTGCCCTCCACGCTGGGGTTTGAGTGTGTCCCCCCGCCCCCCCAGGTCAATTCCTCAGGTACTCTTAAAGTCAAATATGAGAAATGGAGATTAATCTGAGACAGTATATGGCTGTATGTAAAATTGGAGGATTTTTTGAACAGAAGACCTTTTAAAATCTATTAATTTAGATTTACTATTTCACAGAGGAGGAAGTGGGAGCCCATAGAGGGTAAATGATCTATGCAAGATCACAATCAGTACTTAGCAGTGCACTGGTGTTGGATGGAATGCTGAAGTGTGCTAACCTGTAACTGCCAAAGGAATTAGGAAGGGAAGAGATGGGTAAGACTAAGTCAGAGAAAGCTCTGTGGGAGAAAAGCCGCTTGAACTGGACCCTTTGAAATAAATAGGAAAGGGCTAGGTCCGTGGTCGGCAAACTCATTAGTCAACAGAGCCAAATATCAACAGTACAACAATTGAAATTTCTTTTGAGAGCCAAACCTTTTCAACTTCTTCTAATGCCACTTCTTCAAAATAGACTTGCCCAGGCTGTGGATTTTGTGGAAGAGCCACACTCAAGGGGCTAAAGAGCCACATGTGGCTCTCGAGCTGCAGTTTGCCCATCACGGGGCTTGGTGAGAGGGGCGGGAGGGGGTTGTTTGGGGGTGGTAGTTGTACTTGAGTTTGAGATAGGGATGCTAAAATAAGGTTATAGATTGTGGGTGACATTGTAGAGAATAAGGTAGAATTGGAGTCAGGTAAGAAAAACTCAGAGTTTTATCTTTTCTTTAAGAAGCATCTGCAGGTTTTAGTGGACGGTGAAAGGTGCCCTGTGTGTCCAGTGGGCTGCAGAGGCAACCTGGAGTCCCGCCTGGTAGGCTGCAGCAGCCAGGCTGTGAGACAGGGGAGTGCCTGCAGAGGCGTTACACCAGGAACGAAGGCTGAAAGGACACCCGGGGTTTCTGCTGGTCAGCTGGGGCATTTGTGAAACTGAGAAGACTGTGCATTGAGGATGCTTCCAAGAAATCTGATTTAATTGGTCCCAGTGTTCACAATAGCTGGGTTTTGGCACACAGCTCCATTTCAGGTGTTTAACTGACCAAACCTAAAAAAGACAAGAGGTTGGGGCTGTTTCTTTTTTTCTTCACTATTTTGGTCTGGTATCGCTATGCTTTAGCCTGTTGATAAGAATGCGTATCAGTCTTGTTGACTAAACCCGGAATATTGCATTTACTCTTGAGAATGGGGGCTGTTTGAGTTCTCTTACAGCAGGTAATTTGATTGCCTTTCATTATATTCATTTATCCCCCTGTCATCTGGATGGATTATTTCCAAGAAGGTGCTAAGAATGAATGACTTTCAGTTCC